TATTATTATTTTTAGTAGTAGTAGTAGTAGTAGTAGTAGTAGTAGTATTGTTATTATTATTATTATCTAAATGAAAACTCTTATGATGATAACAATATCGTCAGGCCATAATGTGGTGTGGGTGACTTTGTTTCACAGTACAAGCCCACGGGTCGCTCTTAGATTTTGGCTCCTTGATGATTCTAACAACTCTCCAAACCCTAGCTTAATCCTTTTCGCGAAGGACGTCAGAAAGGAAAGCACCGCCTCTTTGAAAGAAACAGCTTTTAGTGTGTTTAGATTGGCGAAAACATGAACAAAACCACATCATCGGGAAAAGATCAAGTTGGGGTCGCATTCATAAAAGCGCCTTTCGCACATGACGCCATGGCAACCCCTAAGTTGGCCCAAGACAGACTGGAGACTTTGTACTATAAGTGTAGCAAGTCAAGTCGGCTCAACTGAATCCTGGTAACATAATTATGGCTTTTTCTCGTGTCCGAAGAGCACAACTTACCGTTTAATGACTATGAACATCATGATAGCTGAAGGAAATTCCAAGGCACCACCGAGAAGGAAGTTGACGTAAGCATCGCCAGCCAACGATGTGGACAATAGGGTGATGCCATAGTAGGTTAAACTACTTATCATCCTGGTTTTAGACAAACAAAAAGAAATATTACTATGAATTTTGGGTCTTGGGGTTGTTAGAAAACATTGTAACATTGGTTTGTAATGACATTCACTTCGTATCATCTTTTTTATTATTTTTATTAACATCATCATCTTTGTCATGTTCATCATCTTCATCCTCCTCCTTCTCCTCCTCTTCCTCATCATCATCATCATCCTGCTCATCATCATCATCATCATCATCATCATCATCATCATCATCATCATCATCATCATCATCATCATCATTGTTTGATAAGCAGAGTAGGAAGGATCATCATCATCATCTTCATCATCATCTTCATCATCATCATCATCATCCATCCCGATAACGATCATTATCTCCCCTTCTCTCCTTCTCTCTCTCTCTCCCTCTCCCTCTCTCTCTCTCTCTCTCTCTCTCTCTCTCTCTCTCTCTCTCTCTCTCTCTTCTCTCTCTCTCCTCTCTCTCGTGAAGACTTAGTTTTCGTCAGAAGTATCAAGGCACAACAAAGAGAACACGGACGTGCCTGTGTTAAGAACTACCTGTTGTTGTTTTTTGGGGGGTTTTTTGTTGTTGTTTTTTTTTGGGGAGGTTGCTTGAAAAGCAAAGGAACAATAATGGGGTATTAGATTTTCCATGCATTTTGCCCCTGCAAACTGTTTCCTCTTTCTGTTAATGCATACCCTGTTTCTAACTGACTCGACTCTCATGCCTTAGTTCAAACTATAGGGCAACTTGAAAAGTCGGATAAGGACTTAATGTTGGTTCCTATGCTCAAAACAGGTAGAGTAGTATAGACAAACGAACTATAAACGTGGCTTTCATTTTACAGGTTTAACTTTCAAAAAATTCACAACGGAGAGGGGAGAGAGAGAGAGAGAGAGAGAGAGAGAGATAGAAAAAGAGATAGAGACAGACAGATGGCACAGACGGACGAACATACACACTGACATACAATCAAAGATATACAGAGTTTTGTAAGGGGTATAGGAGAGGAAGAAACATGGAGAAAGAGAAGAAAGACTGGAAATGAAAAGAGAGAATAGACAGTAAAATAGTACATTAAAGCTCTACACGTGTACTGTATTTACTTTCTTATAAATCTAAAAGCCGTTCAGGACATTCTGTGTCATTTCGAATGCCGTACACTTAGCTAAGCGCTGAAAGTAGCAAGTATTACAGGAAGAAAGAAGGTAGTTTGGACGTTCATGGAATTTGAAAACTGCAGTATTTTAAAGTACGGACCAACCTTTATATTATTAAAACCCAGTCAATGCCTCCGTCGAGACTTTTTTAAAAATCGTTGAAAACAACAGTACAACGGAGGCTGGGCAGGGAATATTCAAAATTGAAAGCCATGTTACGTACCAGCCAAAACAAATGCTCAGAGACATTCTCCTCAAGGTTGGGTTTTTCATTATGTCCAGCAGCGTCGCATGAGACTCCTTGGGCTTCACCACCGTTGTTTGATCAGCTTCTGGGGGCAATGTAGGCAGTTGGGTCTCGTTGCTAAAGCCTGGGAAGTTAGAAATAAAATGATTTGGTACAAAGTTTGTTATGTCTTAATACACGACAACAGTTTGAGACGAAAGGGGGGGGGGTGCATTGATAATTCGGCTCGTATCTGTTTCTGAGACCCCGCTGCGACAAAAACTCCAGCCATACTAATCGACGATTACGAACAGACTCAGCGTGTAAAGAACCAGCTATCTGAATATGTACGGCTTTGGCCTCACGTTCTGACCATGTCTATGGGTCAGCTATATAATGATAGCGGCTCTTCTTTCTGTCACCATTTGTAAAATTGTGATTCTCTTGCGTTCTTATTTCTGTATGTATTACTACAGTCACTCTAATTATCTCTACCATGCTTTTTTTGTTGTCGTCACTGTTATTGATGTCTTTGTTGAGGGGGGCGGGTTTATTTTGCTATTGTTACTATCGATATTGGGTTGTTTTTTTAGCTTGTTGCTTTAGTATTTGCCTTTGGATTTATTTTGAGACACAATGTAACATATTTATATGTATTTAATTATATTGAATATATGCTGAATTGTTGTAGTATTCATAAAGATGTTGTATGCAATACGTATTATTAAATGTAGGTGCACATTCTTGTACGTGTATGTAAGCGCTTGTTATCGTCTGACCTGCGACACTGTGCTTGTCTGTTTGCTTGTTCAGTACCGTGTCCACCAGTTGCTCGTAGCTCTTCCCATTCATGGCACAGGCTTTCTTCATCACTTTCCGAGCCTCGTCGATATGACGGTTGGCCAGCAACCATCTCAGAGACTCGTCCATAAACCTGGCAGGAAATGTGGAATAGTTGTCTTAAAGTATGAATTTTGTCGGGTTATATGTACATATTATAGATAGATAGATAGATAGATAGATAGATAGATAGATAGATAGATAGATAGATAGATTTTGAGGAAAGGGTATAATAAATAATGAAAACTGCCTTTGAAAGACGTTAAAATCTATTGCTGAAGCACGTTTTCTCTTCCCTGCTATGTTTTACCATTGAATTCCATTCATATAGATGTCAACTGAATGCCAAATTGGGAATGAATTTTCCATGAAATAATATTTGAAAAATTGTTTTTTATTTAAAGTTTGTATGTGTTCTCACGTTTTTTAAACTTGAAAGCTGATTTTCTCTAAATTATATTTTTATTCCCTACCTCGCAAAAACAACTTGAGATACCTAAAAATTCAAAAACCCCTGTGTTCAGCGTTGAACTTCCTATAAGGTACAACCCTTAATTCAAAATGGTCAAATCCGACTTTGGTACCTTCCTTTAGGCACACACACACACACACACACACACACACACACACACACACACACACACACACACACACACACACACACACACACACACACACACACACACACATATCCTCTCTTCTGCACACATCAGAATCTGTGCACATCAATATGACAATATTATAACAATATGCCAGCACTCACAAGCAGGCCATAGTCACATGTATAACATAAATGTTCAATATTGCTAACAGTAATAGTGTTTAGCTAGATACACAATCAGTACATAATATGTATTCCGATTGTAACTCAATTATATTCTGACATTGCATGTTTTAAAGGTCATAGGAATACATGTATTACAAGATAATTGACATGGTAGGAGCTCATAATAAAAACTGACGTTCTGAATCTTTCTTCGTTATAAAACAGGAGCGTACGTCTTTTACTACTGAATAATGATTTTATTTGTAGGAACAGGGGATGTTGGTTGTCCGAAAAGATAGAATTTTTTTTCTAGTGCAAGTGATAATGGAATAATTCATCGGAGTAGGCGAATGTACATGTTGAAATTTTGCTTGTTTTCCGTATTAATAGATTCAGTTTTACTTTTTCTTAAAGTTTTGCGTTTCGTGTTTGTGCTTTCATACAGAAATTGATCACACTGTCTTTGATTAAATGATAGAATATGGACAAGAATGATTTATCAACTTTGAAGACCATTAGCTTCCTCGGGAAAAATAGTCTTTTGTTCACTTTTTTAGTCAGGAGAGAAGTTTCGACATACCAGTCAATTTTGTTGTCCAAGGAAACACCCAAATACTAATAATCTGACACTTGCTGGATGTTTTCAATTTTAATTTCGAGTGGCTGCAGGGGGGATGCCTTTTTTCTAAAGTCAGCGGCAAGCTTTTTAGGTATGATTTTTCACATCACTCAGAAAAGTACAATATAAAACTATGATAAGCAGTCTCGTCTCATAGAGAGAGATGGAATCAATGTGATTAAAATGGAGAGAAAATAAAGATGCGTTAATTCACATTGCCGTGCAGTCATTATGAGTATACATTATGCGCACTGCTCAAGAGACGAAGAAATGTGAATATCACAGTAAACTTACGAAATGAAAGTTGCTTTAAATCATTGTTAACAATTCTGAAATTAAGGGAGATTGTTAAAAGAAGAGCAAACTCCAAGATGAAATCATGCTAAGCGTTGCACAGCAGGCAGAGAAATGTTCAAATCAGGGTCGTAACGTAGCAGAATCTAAACAATGTGACACAAGCTCAAGGCAATTTAGCGAGTACAAAACGTTCTTTGCGGTGGTGTGATAGCAATGACAATGGGCCTGTATTATTACAACGAGGAGCAAACACTTTGAAGCGTGCATTTTAGGTGCTAGATTTTTGTTTGGGATAATCTGTAAGTAGGAAAATGTCACTTTTGTCAAATATTCCGGTGAGCTTATGTGTCTGTGAAAGTGTGCATGTGTGTATATGTTTGTGTATGTTTGTGCCCGTGTGTGTCTTGTATATCTCTGTGTGTATGTGTGTATGTGTGTGTGTGTGCGTGTGTTTGGGTGCATACGTGTGTGTGTGTGTGTGTATGTGTGTGCTTGTCCATTTCTGTGTCTGGATGGTTAGATAATAACTTTACCATATCAGAGTGTTCAAGATTTGATAAAAAGGCATTATACTGTCTTTTTATCCGCCTATTCATGTGGTGAGTCAAATTTGAAAGGCACATTGACGAAAATACATAAGCGCATCACAAGTGGTCGCTACCTTTATTGTTCAAATATTTTTTATGATGGAAAAAAGTATGTGCCAATATCTTCAAATTTGTTGCGATATTGATATCAACAGCAATTTTAAACCCTTCCGAGCCTGCTTCTCATATTATCTTTTCCTTTGATTTAGGACTGTTCATTACCTTAATGGAGTAAGTGTATGTTTGTTGTTTGTTTTGTTGGTCATCCAGAGAAAGTCAGGTAGCAGAATAGAGTCTACATGGGTAGCTGTGTGAGACAAAGCTTTACTTACTCATAGGCTAATCTGCTACTGAGATCTGGTGAAAAGCCCAACGGCTATTTTGTGCTACAGCCAAGAGAAATACGTCAGTTAAAAAAACATTTCTGTAAAAATCAATTAACTTATATCGCCTAACCTTCCCAATCGCAAAGTCTTCACTATATGCCTTATAGCTACGTCTGTTATCTTTAGGTAAAAAGGATCTTTATCTCTTTGTTTCCCTTTTAGATATAAGTGCAAGTAATGCAAGCACTTTGTTGCAACGTATGCTGCTAAACAATTACAGTTTGAGTTGGGGGGGGGGGTTCCTTTACATCCCCCAAGTTTGCCTCGCATGAGACTAGCAGCACTTAAAATAAAAAGATCTTAAATCTTTGGCCGAGTGCTTTATTTGTTCTCTTCAATAATGTCATCAGTTCGACGTTACGGCAGCAAAACCTTACGCTACTGCTTTAAACATGGGTGAAATGTGCTGTTTGGATTTTGCAGGAGAACTGGCGCATTTTCTCGCCACAGAAAGTAGGTAGGTAAAATGAGCAAGGTCGTGGTTAGACGCTGCTAGTGGCTAGACAAAGCCATGTTTCACAAACTGTCAGCCGAATGAAAGAATGAACTCATAACATACAGACTTGGCACAAACGCGATGAAAGTTGCGATTCCATAGGACATCTGCAGGGTTCTCCAGCTGGCGTCTTGGAGAACGTAGGCAAACGGAACGATAAGTACAACTGCCATCACCCACCAGCAAGTTGCGATGCAGCCCATGACTAGACGTAACTCTTTCGGGAAAACCTCTATCAGAAGAATAAATATGGGCACCATTGAACCCTGTGGGTAGAGAAAGTGTCATGTGTTTCATTACCGAAGTCAACATACAAAATTGGCAAGAAGGTGATAAAAGCGCTGATTCCATAGGTCATCTGTAGAGTTCTCCAACTTGCGTCCTGGAGGAGATAGGCGAATGGCACGAGAATGACAACAGTAGTCACCCACTGGATTGTCATGTTGAAGCCCATCATAAGACGGAGCTCTGCAGGAAAAATCTCTATCATAATAGTGAAGTATGGCACCATTACACCCTGTGAACAGGAAAAAACGAATGATAAAACATACTGTTATTTACTATCAAATCAGGACTACGGTAAAAGGATCGCCCCTACTCTGGCTGATCAGTAATAAATTCGTGCTCAGGTAAAATTTCGTTTATAGAAACGTGTCTTGTCCCGCAAAACCGATTAAAACGTCATTTAAGAAATAGTCAGATGTCTAGACTGAGTTAGTCCCGCGTACCTAAAAGAAAAGAGGACCCATTTAATGGCCAGTAACTTGGTCATCTTTAGACCAATTTTAACAAAACTTCGAGGAAATGAAATCCAATCAAGGAAACGTTACATTTGTCAGTGGGGAAAAAATCAAACTACAAGAATAGTTAAGAAACGCATCTTCTTTTGGAAATATTTGCACCAGTATGTCACGCTCTTAACTTACCTATCTTAAGAAAGTGCCATGGGTACTTATTAGGAATCCATTTTTCCAATCCATCAATCATGCCTTTCTTGTTCTTCTAAAGAACTGATGCTATGACCATTATTTTGCCAATACGTCTTGTTTTGTTTTTGCCTTATTTTAGTACTAACAAATTCTTTTCTTTTTAGCCTAGTTGAAACATTGCAGCTAGGCTTAAAGATGTATCTATCTTCTGATATCTACAAATTTCGAACAAATACAGTAATTGAAAAATAATAAGATTTGAATTTGTGTAGGTTTAACGCCCCTTGCAACACTGTAAGGCTGTTTGAGAGGCTGGACCTCCGATTTCAATGTCCTTTTCCGATAGGACATAACCAAATGGGGATATTTATGTAAGGTACCATTCTCACGATCGTAGGGCCTACCATTGGACCAAACTGGTACTAGAACCCACAAACCCGCAATCTCACGATTACGAGTACAGTAGCTTAATCACTAGACTGCCGGCACCACTTTAATCAAAAGTTTAACAGCGAATCTTTTGTTAACTTAAAGTTTTAATACACATCTTACGATCTAAAATATACATCGTACAGCTATATAATTGGGGGGATGCATACATCTTCCAAGTATTGCACAGCTTAATAGACCATTCATATTCCACGTGCTTTCAAAGTACATGTAGAATCAAACCTGGCTGCACGACGTTAAACTTAAGAACAGGGCACTTTTTCCACTTGTTAGAAAAGCCAATCCATTTTTCTCAACCATTTACAGTGTCAGTATTACCTGGTTAAAGCTGCCAGACAGGAATTTCAGCAACAAGAAGATTTCAAAGGATTGAATGAAAGCCATCCCCAGTAGAACCGAGGACATGAGAAGACTGGAGCCTATCAGAAGTTTCTTCCGGCCGAACCGGTCACCCAGCTGTGGAAGGGAGGCTGCTCCTGCCATCATGCCCAGCATCGTCAACATTTGGGGCAGTTGGCTCAGAGCTTCGTTTTCGCACACCAGATTCCACTGGAAGGATTGAAGTAACGGGAAGTGTAGTGGTATATTATTGTTACCATGCACTCATTATAAACCCCCAGCCATCTCCCCACCCCCCACCCTTTTTCCCATCCCACGGTTTCGAAATTAGTTTCCTTGATCTTGATGATACTGATATTACACTGGCGCTTAAAAAACTGGAATCTAATAGTGCCAGAATTATGTTTCTCTTCTTTCTTCCCCCCCCCCCCTCTCTTTCTCTCTCTCTCTCTCTCTCTCTCTCTCTCTCTCTCTCGCTCTCTCTCTCTCTCTTTCTCTCTCTCTCTCTCTCTATCTATCTATCTATCTCTCTCTCCCTCTCTCACTCGCTCTCTCTCTTTCTCTTTCTCTTTCTCTTTCTCTCTGCTTCATTCTCTAATATTACTTCCAATAAGTATCTTTATATTTATGTGTTTATCTATCTATCTATCTATCTATCTATCTATCTATCTATCTATCTATCTATCTATCTATTTATCTATCTATCTATCTATCTATTTATTTATCCCCATACCTCGGAAACAACAGACACAGACACATTGTGCTCGTATTGATACTCTCTACAGCTCTTTTCAAAGACCACCTCTTGGCCCTCGGAGGTATTGGCCCACACTTTGATCTCACAGGAACCATATTCCAACGTCTCATTGGCTCGGAGAATGTGGCTCATGTTCTCTTCGCTGTGGCACTTTGGAGTCACATCCTTGCCTGCAGATAACGAACCGGTTACCCAGCTGTTTTGAGCCCATTTCAACGAATTTCTAAAATTCTGTTGGACTAAAGAAAGAAAATAGATGTGGAATGTGTGTGTGTGGGGGGGGGGGAGTCCTCAAGTAGGGTCAGTGGTCAGCTGAAGATTTTCGGAAACAAAAAAAGGTGTACAGTTCAGTGTCGGGCCATAACAAAATAATGCCATTCGACATTCTCGCCAATACTCTAAAACATTCAAAATGGTACTGACAGTTGACAGGATTTTATGACATTCCTGATTTCGAATATCATTATTCAAAGCCACTTGACAAGACAAAAAGTATTATCATAAAGTATGCAAACCATATGGGTTCAGAAACGGATTTAACTAAAAGTACACAATCATTGAAATTTCGGCGTACCCAGGTACTGAGAGTACACAGCGAATCTTGTTTCAACTGCCATGTCTTCATTTATAAAACGAACGATAGGGCCTAGTTTTGGTTGTTGTTTTTTTTTGGGGGGGGGTTTCTGTAAAAGAGAATATATTCTCATTGATTGAGTCCCCCGTCCGTTCCTTTCTCTTTCTATCTGTCTCTGTGCCTGTGTTTCTATCAGTGTCAGCGTCTGTGTATGTACCTCTGTCTATCTGTTTGTCTTTCTGTTTGTCTGTCTGTCTGTCTGTGTTTATCTCTCATTCTGTCTCTCTCTCTGTCTCTCTCCTCTCTCTCTCTCTCCCTGTCTTTCTCTCCTCTCCTCCCTTATCTTTCTCTCTCTCTCTCTCTCTCTCACACACACACACACACACACACACACACACACACACACACACACACACACAAACACAAACACACACACACAAACACTCTTTCTATCACACACAAACACTCTTTCTATCTATCTATCTACATATCTATATATATATCTATCTATATATATATATATATATATATATATATATATATATATATATATGTTTTTTCCCACTATCTACGTACCTTTCCTTTCTACCATCTGTCTCTCTCTGTCTCTCTCTCTCTCTCTTAATACATATGAACACGCACTCACAAATACATACACACACACACACACACACACACACACACACACACACACACACACGCACACACACACACACACACACACACACATACACGAGAACATGCACACATTCCCTCACTCTTGCTCTGTATCCATATTTGAAGGAATGGGTGGGTGAATTTCTGGTGTACGAGTATTTACGTGTTTACTGGTTGGAGTAAGTATGTGTATGTATATATGTGTATGTGTGTTTATATCTGTAGGTGCGTGTGTGTGTGTGTGTGTGTGTGTGTGTGTGTGTGTGTGTGTGTGTGTGTGTGTGTGTGTGTGTGTGTGTGTGTGTGTGTGTGTGTGTGTGTGTATGCATGTTTATATATTATTATTTTTATGTAAGTGTGTGTGTTTGTGTGTGTGTTAATGAGTGAGTGAGAGAGAGAAAGAGAGAGAGGGGAGGAGAGAAAGAGAGAGAGAGAGAGAGAGTGAGAGAGAGAGAGAGAGAGAGAAAGAGAGAGAGAGAGGGAGTTGCAATGTCTTAGCTTAGTAAGAGTTCAAAAGAACTACCTATATGGGTTCAGAAAAGATGATAAATCGATATACACGACGCTGGAACTTACCGACAAAGACTCCAGAGAGAATAGAAAAACTGAGAGACAGTGAAACAATCCAAAGTAGCACAAAGTGCAGCATTTGATAGCGTCCAAATCTGTGAAGGTACTTCCAAACATCGTCTACGTCGATGCTAGAGCAGTTGTTCTTGTCAATATCCAGCCTAGGCTGTGGACTGTTGCCATTAGTGGACACATCTGCTACTTCTTGCTCTCTATCGTCTGTCTCTGGTTGCATCTTGATGGCACGAGGAGAAACTTACTGCTCGAATAGACTCACACCAGACATCACCTGGAAGGATTTATGATTTAAATCGAGTAACCAGTACCGTTTGGTTGTATTCGTGTTCCTGTCAAAGACCGATGTTAGATGTTGTGGTACCGACTATTCAACCACACTTCAGTGTTGACAGTGAGCCGAAGCCAGATCTTACCACTGGGTTATATTTGCCTTAACGATGTTAGTTATTGTCTGTGACATATTGGTGTGAACTTCGGAGTTTTCAATTCTGTTTTGATATCATAACTACTATCTCAATTAAGAATATTTGCATTTTCTTTATTAAGCACCTCATGGTGTCTGCTGTGATTTTATTATTGCACTCAGTCATGGCTAGCCTGGACGGACAAGGTCAAGCTTGGAGCTCTCCACCTCATAATGTTCTAAATATTGTTTTGATGGAGTTGTAGAAATGCTTACGGTTACAATCATTTGGATGATCTGTCTAGAAAAAATTTAAGCTAATAAAGCTAGAGACACCTTTCTCACCAGTTTGAATATTTTCAAAATCTTAAGTGAAATGCAGACTAATGTAAGCCAAATTTGTTATATACCATTCAAGAATGTAACTTTTTCTACAATCTCCCGTCCCTTTTTTTAGTCGATAGCCATTCCATAGCATTCACACTCCTGCTTTGTCAACAAAAAGAATCCCACATTTTTTTCCTATTAGAAACTATTGCGATTCTTAAGATCTTTGAGAGCAGCATCATAATCTTGAGCCCTTGGTGCTTTTGCATGCCTGTAGAAATCTATGATTGCCAGTCTTCTAATGCAGCATGCAATCTGGGATATACGGTGCTCTTTGATATTCTTTTGTCCGAACAATGTTTTCCTAATACAAAGGACCACCAAAACTTTTTGAAAGTGGGCTGCCTAACTGAAAGAACGCCGATTGAAGACAAGTTAACTACTATTCGATACAATACACTGACAACATGTGAAAATGAAAACGACCAACCTTTTGATCTATCACTACTGAAATTTGCATGAAATGCAAAAACAATAAAGTCAACGTACATACATAGTGTAGTTACCTAAGTGTCGTAATAGAACGTTTTATTTGCACTGCAAAGTTCAATTAAAATAATCAGTTATTTTCCTGACGAAGTTCTAAACTAGTTCCATAACTCCTTCTAAGTTATTCTCCTGCTCTGTGGCATGGCGTCGGACCCGGCGAACTGATTAATTTAGTTGTCAGTTGTTTGATGACCCCTACTTTAAACAATATAATTAAGCTTCTTGTACTTTGTACGTCTCCATTCTATGTGAAAGTTACATAATATATAGTTTCTCTCTCTTTCTCTCTCTCTCTCTCTCTCTCTCTCTCTCTCTCTCTCTCTCTCTTTCTCTCTTTCTCCGAGTGTCTTTCTGCGGAAGACATAGGTTGGGCAAAGAAATCTGCACTTTGGGATGCATTAATAGCAAATTTTTAAAATAAAATTCAGAATAACTTGAATGAGAAATAGGCATCTAGTACAAAAAATAGTGTGCATTTGGGGCGGTCATTTACCTTGTAGGTTCTGTTCAAACAAACAACTTGAAAGTCAAAACAACAATAGTCAGTCTTGTAAAGTATCAATGTCAAACGTTCAAACACTTAAGCAGTTCTCTCAATGGAGGCATCCTTGAAACATACTTACCTGCGTCTTACATTTATCAAGAATATCATCTAAACTTCGAAGCGGTCCACTTTTCTTAATGATTGCAAAGCCACACACATCAGCCCATGTGACGTTTATGAGGTTAATCGCAACTAAATATAATTTTCTTTCTGCTAATGTATCTTTTGGCTCATAAAGCAGACCGCAAAGTGTGCAATGAAAAACCCTGTTTGAACGTTTGATTGTTCAGAATGCACTCTTTGGAGACATGTTCAGCTTGCCAAGGGCACAACGATTTCAGGATATAAGGGCACTTTAAGTAATTTCCGAGTATCAAAATTGCTAGGAGTTCGAATCCAATGAACTCCCGTCAGGTCAGAGCATGAAACATTCAGCAATTATTGTTTCGGCACGCATGCTTTCAGAGAAGTCTTTTAAAAGATGTCGAGCTACTAGTCCAGAATTACAATCGTACTATAAGACTGTCCAAAACGGTTTTGTCCTGCTCACCATAACGGTTTTTTTTTCGTAGCGTGATCCACCAAGTGTCGCATATAGAGGAAGAGAAATCGTGCTCCAACATCAAAGTCGTCACTTTTCCACACCTGGGTAAACTGGCCACTCAGAAGCACCTCACAGTCACAATAACAGTTGTGCCACTGTCGGGCTACCGCATGGCTGCCGTTGCGTAATGATTATAATTGTTAATCAAATTATTATATCAAGCTGAACGTGTGTTCATTATGTTGTAAAAAGCTTGAAACTGGCATAGGGCAAGTTAAGGTAATTTTTTTTAAATTAAGTAGTATCTTACCTTGTAGCTATTGAATTCAACTTTAAAACGACGATGCCAAAGAAACAGCGCCAATATTGACCTGGAAACTGAAGAAACCTTGGCATCACGGAGGTCTAAAGGAGGATAAAAGGTTTTAAAAATGAAGGTGAAATGAGACACTTACTTAGCAAAGTATTATAAAGCTCTCTTTGTATACAATAGCTATAGTTCCAGTGATACTTCGAAACAATTGAAGAAACATGTAATCATTTGGGTACTTTTTTATTTGTAAGAGTGGACTAAAAACTGTCAGTTAGAGTGCAGTTTGACAATGATATAGACTGGTAAAACAGTCTCTTCTAGAACTGTTCCTTGTTTCTCGCCTGACAGTGTCATATTATACTTCTATTAAACTTCTGTTCTATCCTTTACTGTTCTACAAACTACCAATAATTAATATCTAAGAAAGTTGTGGTAAGCGGTATGCCGACTTGTCCTCTAATAAATAAGGTATTCGACGTAAAAAAAAAAAACTACGCTGCGGATGGCTTAGTATATTTTTCAGCGTTAAAAGGGAATTGCCGGATGTACTTGGTCAATTATCTCATTACATTAACATCTTTTCATGAGTTGATGTATGTCAACCAGTAAATAACGCCTTTACCTTTTTTTCTTTTTTTTTGGTATACGTTGCAATGTTCTCGTAGAATTTTTAAAGAATGAAACAGTTATTTCTCCTTTTAAAAAGTTGCTTTCTGGGCTTGTGACATTTTAACAGCTGGTCGACGTGCTAAGGAATCCAAATACCTGTTGCATAACAACTTCTTACAGAAATTAATCCGGACAACGCTGTGTATCTGTGTTGGAACTTCTACAGATACAAGGCCAACAAAACACGCAAACGTGCTGCCGGACTCTGACGATGGCTCATGAGTGCGTACTGGTATAGACAAAAGCCAGGCTCTGTTTTACAAAATCTCCTGCAAACAGACATGAAAAATAAGCATTCGCCAAGGCCGACTTCTGTACAGTATCCAACATCCAACACTACCCCAGGGGGAAACTCTACACCCAAGACGTCAAGGCGTGACATACAGTACATTCGAGAAAGTTTTCAGAATTCAGACTAGCAAACGATACGTCGCCCGGCTCTGATGGTGTCCGCTATGAACACATGAAAAGGTTGGAGAAGGAGATGACGGCACCGACAGAGACTCTCCATGCTAGCTTGTGGAGCGGCATGAAACCTGATAACTGGCTTGACTGTTACCCGACCTCAATACCCGAGGCAGATAAAGATCATAGCCGCACATCCTCATACAGTACTGCAGACATGTAGAATACAATCTGCAAGGTGCTGGAGAAAATGGTGACTGGAAGACTAGTCGCAGAATCATGAAAACATTCTCCCACTTTAATCGGTTTAAAGGAAATTAGGAGTTAATACGCGGAAAAAAAGAAAAAAAACTCCAAGGCGCAGTGTTAAAAACACATTGATTCAAGAGATCATTGACATACATGATACTGTAAAGTAAATTTGCTTATTTAAAAAAAGGATGCTTCAAAAACGCTACAGTTGATAAGTTGACTGTCCAAACTATTGATTCTACACGAAATCTCGTTCGGACCGCATTTAAATGATTTAATGATATACTTCTCGGTAACTCTTGAGGATGATGATACAATTTATCGTAAACACTATCGACCACTGACAGATTCCAGACGTCACAACTGATTAGTTTCTTCTCTTACTTTTTGGGAAACAAAGGTCATTCAGTCAGAATGACAGATAATGTTAATTGAACTGCAGCGGTCTGAGTGGTCACAGCTTGAAAATTTCTAGCATTAAGCCGAATAATGGTATGCAGATCCAAGCGGTTTGCGACACCCATGCAAGGTCTCCACCCCCACCCCATCTCCACCCCTCTCTCTCTCTCTCTCTCTCTCTCTCTCTCTCTCTCTCTCTCTCTCTCTCTCTCTC